TGGCTGATTCAACAGAGTCGGCGTTCCTAGGGCAGATTTCACTGTATTTGTGCTCCGTTTTCTTTCTCTTTTTGCTCTGTTTATATTAACTCAGCCGTCACCCATCACTGCCTGTTGCTTCTGCACTCTCACTCATACGCCTTGCCTTCTCTGTTTTCTCCAGCCGGGTGACTGAGCACAGAGGAGCATGCATGCACACCCCTGCACGATTGTCCCCTTTCTGAATTAGTGACCTAGCATGGATGAGCGTGAATGCACACCCCTGCACGATTGTCCCCTTTCTGAATTAGTGACCTAGCATGGATGAGTGTGCATGCACACACCTGCACAAACACACCCCCCCACACCCCTTCTCTGAATTAGTGACACCATGACGGGAAAGTGGAGAGCCGGTGACACATTCCGTTTTCACGAGTTTCACTTCAATCTACCTCTTCTGTTCTCAAGGACTGTGCACTTTCATACAAGTTTCTGTGACACATGCTCAGCAAGGGGTCCCCGCAAGGACTTTGAATGACTGGCATGAAGAAGAAACTGATGGAGACATACCATTCTGATATGCTCCTCCCTCCCTCCCTCCCTCCCTCCCTCCTCCTTCCCTCCTTCCTGTGTGTGTGTTTGGTGTGTATGTATTTGTGTGTGAGAGTTCATGTTAGGGGGTGCAGAAATTGACAACAGTGTCTTCCTCGCTTACTCTCCATCTTACTTACCAGGCAGGGTCTCTCGCTGACCCGCAGCTCACTGATTCAGCTAGACTGGCTGGCCCGTGAGCCCCTGGGATCCTCCTGCCTCTGCCCTCCCCTCCCACGTGGCTGGTACTGCAGGCATGCCCTGTCATGCTGGCTTTTCATGTGTGCTGGAAATCTGGACTCGGGTCTGCATGTGGGGCAGGCACTTCACCCGCTGAACCATTTCCCCGGTCGCTTTGGACACGCATTTTCGTTGAAAAATTTTTACAACTATGTATTTATTCTATTTGCATGTGTGCACTTACACACACACACACACACATGCATGTGTCACAGTACACATGTTGAGGTCATAGCACAATTTGTAGGAGTCAGTTCTCTCCTGGGAATCAAACCCAGGTTGTCAGACTTGGAAGCAAGCGCCTTTACCCACTGAGCCATCTTGTCAGCCCCTGACATGTACTTTTGATGATCTCTGGAAACACAGTACGTTCCAATGATGTGGTTAATGAGGTTCCTTACGATTAAAACTGATGGTTGAGGAAATAAAGATGGAGAAGAACTGGAAAAAAAGACTTTTTCTTTGTCCAGAAGTAGGTGAGATGGCACAGGGCTCTGAGTGGGGGAGCTCTGAAGGGGACAGAAGTCAGACAGGACAGAAGGTGGCCTTTCAGCCATAAGGTTGTTTGGTTTTTGTTTTCATTGTTATTGGTTTTTTTTTTCTTTTTTCTCAAAAAAAGGGAGAGCTTTTTCTCGAAAGTTTTTTCATTTGCATTTGTTGAGTGGTAGAAGGTGCTAGATTTTAGTCACGATGCCCCCTGACTTATAAGATGTGGGTGTATTTTGTTGTTAGCGTGCAATTGACAGCTGCTCGGTGTCTGACATGGTCCTCTGATATGTTAGGGTGTGGAAGAGGAAAGACTGTCTTGAGCTCTAGAGATCGCTGTGTTTCTGTCCCTCAAACAGGTCACGAAATGTACTTGCTTGTGAACTGTGGGTTGAGGTGAAAGGGACTGCCACAGAACTGTGACTCGATTAATGCAGGAGACGACAGTGGTGGTGGTGATGACGGTAGCTGATGAGGGACCCTAGCAAGAATGCTTGATCTCAGGCCTCGGCTTTCTTTCCTCAGTGACACATGTTTGGAAGTTTTCCAGAACAGGTTATCAATATAATCACCCTCCCTGCCCAATGTTCTTCTTCCCATGTCTCAGGAAACATGGGCTTTCCATAGGCAATCCAGATCCCCTCCTTCTGTTATTGCTAAAGGATCAAAGTGGTCTGTTTATGCAGAGCCTCTAATGGGGCAAACTGGTCTGTGACTGGTTAGAATAAATAAAGCTGTTATAACAATCATCAATGGAGAGGCAAGGTGAAGAAACCTTGCTTTCCCGGTATTCAAGACATTTCTTCTGTAGTGTGACTGAGGTGACAGCTGGAAGCTCCTGTCAGTGGCCCCAGATGGCATGGTCAGCTGGGGCATGTGTGGTGGAGGGGGCAGGTCTGCTAAGTGGCTTCAGATCATATGTCAGCTTGTCTCATCATCACCATGGCTCCCCCATCATCGGAGAACAGTTGTCAGGTTTGGGAGCAATTAACATTATGGACGGCTGAGTCTGATAGGAAAGACGGGGAGTGTGACAGCCTTCACATTTCTAGCAAGTTTATGGAAATGCCCATTTTATGGAACAATCTCCTAGCAGACTTGAATTTACTATGGTAATATTAATCTCTAAAACGGAATAATGAGTGTGGTGTGTACACAGCAATTAATTTCACAGTATTTCCCCATCTAACCTCAAGAGCCCAAACCCAGCAGGTCAACCCTGGATAATCATAAATAAAATACCCAGGAATGGGTTTTGTTTGTAATTAAGTGGCAACAAGGCTATTGTTCTTCTGTCCCTCACACCACACATTATCATGAGAGACAAATATAAAAAGCCGAAGAATGAGAAGCACCTCTTGCTTAAGAATTTAACATTGTGCAAGCTCTGGCTGTGGGAGATGTGAGCATGAAGCAGGCAGAAAGGGAATGTGTCCTGTAAAGAAGCCAGAGGGGAAGGAGAAGCTAGAGGTAGCATCCCTGCTTTGAGATGAGATAATCGCTGTCACTGACGAATGGGAACAGGGAACGCTGGAATGTCTGGCTTAGGGGATCTCTGCAAAGGCATTCAGAGATGCTATTCATGATGCTTGATTTGAGTCTCACCGGGTGGAAGCCCCTGGTATTCTTTGTGATGTACGCAATTCTAATGATGCCCTAGATAACGTTAAGATTTCTCCTTGCTAGAAAGCAAGCCGCATCTTTGGTTTAAGTAAGTATTGAGTATAATTAACTACCAGAGGATGAATGCCTACTGAATAGTCTGAATAGGCTTCAGTGCCTCTCAGGAGGAAAGCTCCACCCTGGGGGCATGCAAAGGACCAAAACACCTTACCAGCACCTGGAAATAGCCATGGCAAGAATAACGCCAACTGCAAAGCAGACTGAGCTCCTTCTTCCTGCCATTTTACTTCGATGCAGGGGAGGAATCAATTCTCAAAGTAGTGAGGGCTGTAGGAAAATTGGTACCTAGAATTCACTGCAGCGTGGGTGGGATAGAGCCACTTAGGGACTGGAAAGCCAGTCTGTGCACAGAGACAGTACAAGCTAGTCTAATCAATTCAGCCTTTGCCAACGTTACTCATTAAGGGACCTTCTCCTTTGCAGGTCGAGAAGTCTCTGCACTCGCCGTAGATTATGGCAGGAGACATTCTGCTTTTGTCACTGTCACACCACAGTGTTTTCCAGACTGTCTGGGATGGAGAGACTTAACCTGTTTTACATTCAATCTAGCTTAAAGTGGGGGAGCAAAATGACCATGGGGTTTGGGTTCTCCTCCTGGAGATCATTGGATCCCACTTGGAAAGGAAACAAGTTCCCAGTTAATAGCATTGGGAGTCAGCCTCCTTGGATCCATGTGCCTGGCTGTAGATCTCATTTGCTTTTGACATTGTCCAAATCATCATTGAAATCTCCTCAAGCTGTCTAGGGGCCCAGGGGGCCAGGCCTCCAAGGGTAAGTGCTCTGTCCATGGCAGAGTCTGGCAGTTGGTTCAATGATGTCCCTGGAAATCCTAACAGAAGCCCAATGATGAACTGACTTTCCTGACACCAAATCTAACCCCTTGTAAACACATGAAAACATCACATGAGTCACCTGAATATAATGGTGACCCAGAAAGCAGGAAGCGAGAGCCAGGGCATTCATCATTAGGCATCAGACATTGGTTTGGGAAGCAACAGGTCCTCCTGAGTGTGCTCTGTGGAGGGGTTGCTTATCTATAGTTTTAATTCTCATGATGACCAGAAAGCAAGGAATCCTGACATGAGGCTGGACCCTCACAGTATCTTGGGGCCTTCTCAATAAGTCACAGTTTATTAGAGCTTCTGTTTTTGATTGAAAATCACAGGTGACAGGGAACTCACTACCTACCAAGACAGGCCATCTAGTGTTGGGCTTCTCTTAGCTGGGGCTGGATATTAATAAGTCTCCATATCCCGCTTTATCACATAAGCGAACAGGCAGCTGTGAATCCATATAATGGTTAATGAAAGTCATTGCTGAGCTTTATGAATATAATTTCCTCACCATTCACCAAGTATGAAAATGCTCTTCCTTGTTCTGAAGAAATGCAACCGTGTCTTTGGTGGCCTGGATTGACCTGTAGGGTCCAGCAAGACAGTCTTTAGAAGCTGGTGACACCTCTTTCTTAGTATCTTTCCTTTCGCCCACTGCCTTGGCTGTTCCCAGTGTCCACTCTAGGTATTTGTTACCTCTGCAATGAAGTCAAGAGGTTAATTGGTTTGATGTGAGCATTGCAAAGGAAAGCTGTGGATCCCAGTACTTCCTTTCCTACAGAACGCTGGTGTCCTTCTGCTTTCTCTCCTGTATCTGGTCAGATCTCATTATTTCCCACACTGTTCCATGATCTATGATTCAAGGGGCTGCAGCTGTGTGGATGAGGCCTGCTAGTCACCCTTCATTGCTGGCTAACATATGCTCTGCTCATCTCCCTGTGGCATTTATCCCATAGAAGCTGACGTTGTGGGAACACAAGGAACACTCTGGAAGATGACTGGGAAAGGGCCTTCCCACACCACCCAGGAAGAAGCATAGAACCAAGCTCTACCCTGAGATTGGCTGTGAGACTGAGGTATTGCTCCACCCACCTACGTGGGTGACAGAGGCCAGTGCAACAGGGGCCTGGAAGCTTCAGGAGCTGTGAGCACTGGAGAATGAAAGTCATTAACAACAGGTAGAGATCCTGATCTTGCAAATTTGTTTTAATCACTCATGATCATTGCACATGTGTATAGTACCCAGGGTGACGTTTGATGCTCACATGCATGACACTACCATCTGATCAGACATACCCACTACTTCAAACATTTTTTTTTTTTGGTGGTAAAACACATTTGAAATTCTCTCTCCTGGCATCCACACTCAGCAGGCTGATACAGGAGGGTTGGAAATTTTAGGCTAGCCTGGGATACATAGAAAGAACCTGTTGAAAGAAAGGAAGACAGAAAGAGAGAGGGGAGGAGGGAGAGAGGAAGGGGAGGCAATGTTGGTCCCCATTGCCTTCCACGTATTTTGAAATATGCATTGTGATATTGTTGCGTGTAGCCGTTCAACTGTGCCACAGAAGCCTAGCAATGATTCCTCCTGACTGTAACTTTGAACCTTGGGGCTTTCCTCACCCTGTCCTCTCCTGTCCTGTTGCTGTGTACAATTGTATTTTCTACTCCAGCATCTCTAGATTCCACACAGTGTTTAACTAATTATGTGTGGCGGTTGGTTCAACCTGGAATCAACTAAGGGGAGGCCTCTAGGAACTGCTGTGAGGAATTTTCTTGATCAGATTATTTGAAGTGGGGAGACCTATTCTGAATGTTAGTGGTCCTCCTGATTTGTTGTTGTTTGCTTTTTACTTTTTACCTGCTTGCCTTCACTCTTGTTGGCAAGTTCATCTACTTTGTTGGCTCTACCGCATCCTTCACTGATACTAGGACCCAGCTTTGACTTCCAATGTGGAGTAGGGGGCAGCCCTGCAGAAATCCAATGGGCCTTCAGCACCAGCTTGGGATGGCTGAGACATTCAGCCTCATGGACTGAGCAACGGCTGGGGTCTCACTCAGTCTTTCTGATGCAAGGTAGTCCTTGTTTGACTGCCCAGACCATATTACATAGCCAATCTGAATAACCCTTTTAAAATATACTTACTCTATCAGCTCTGCTCTTCTAGAGATCCCTGATTAATATCCTGTGTCTGCCTCATTTCCATTAATGTAACGTCCTCCAGACTCATCGAGGGTGCCACAAATGACAGCGTTTCATTCTTCTTATGATTTAATACAGTATTCTACTGTGTGTATATATACTACAGTTTATCCATCTGTTGTGGAACATTTAGATCGAACCATATTCTAGCTATTTTGAGTACTGCTGCATGAATGTGGACATTTAGATCTCATCAGTGTACTGAGTCCAGGGGCTGGGAAGAGAGCTCAGTTTGTAGGGTGCTTCTCATACAAACATATAACCCATATTTTTTTTTTAAAAAAAAAACAGATATAGTGGTGCTTGCCAGCAGGAGAGGTGGGGTGGGTGGGACAAAAACAGGCACATTTCTGAGGTTCATTGGCCAAGCATTCTAGCCAAATTGATGAACTTAGGTTCCAGTGTGAGACCCTGGCTCAAAAGATAGAGGCAGAGTGTGTCAGAAGACATACCAGACATAGACCTATCAACCTTTGACCTCTGCACAAGTGTGCACATACACTCCCGTACACATATACATACACCCCATGAACACACACACACACACACACACACACACACACACACACACACACACACACGATGAAAGCACTAGGTTTTGTATTGGTTTGTTTTTGCTGTGTTACTATACTATAAACCATGACTGAGACACACTCTCAAATCATGCTTTCCCACTGGCTCTCAGGTTTCTGGAATAGTGAGACCTGCAAACGGCTGGGCCTGGAATAGACAGACACTCTGAGGTTTTGTATATTTTAAGCACTGAACTCCCTGACCAAATGAAATGTCAAATTATCCCCCAAAGTGAGGAGTTAGCGCTGAAGAAAGTGGGTTGTTGAGCTGCCATCACCCATAAAAACTGGGGGCACACTCGGAGATGTTGATTTCAAATTTGCTGGGAAATGTCAGAACATAACTGCTGCCTGGGGCTTAGGAATGACGGCCGTTTTCTCTAGAAAAGTGCTGTCTGGGGGCCCTGCCTGGTTTCTGATTGGAATGGTCCGTAGGGGGTTCAACAATATAGATGAATAAATGAATGGAGAAAAAGCCCCATTTGCAGACCCCCCCCCCCCCAGGAAAAGCCTCAGCGGCCTCTCCTTCCTCTCACAAGCTCAAAGTCTTCATGGAGGGAGTCGCTCGGCTCTGCAGGAGATACTGTAGAGGTCCCCTGCAGGTCCCACACAGGTCTGATTCTCTGTAAGGTCTGCCTTCTGCTGTGACTTCTTCATTCACACCAGCCAGGAAGAGAACAGCAGCCTTGGAAAGAGTGCAGGGTGAGGCTGGGACTGGTCCTCCCAGGAGGTGGCAGGTGCTCCTGTCCTGGGTCTGGTAGGGAAGGGAAAGTATCACTGTACCTGTGCGAGCCTTTTACTTACAGAGAAGTCCTTGCACCCAGCTGCTGCCCTGGTGGTGGTGGTGGTGGTGGTGGTGGTGGTGGTGGTGATCGGATCTGAGAATCTGCTGACCAAAGGGTCTGGGTTCTATTTCAGAGGTACCCACTGAGTTTGGCATTTTGCCTCATGATCCACAGAGACTGTGGTCCCTGCCTGCTTTGACAAGGACTCTTTTTGAGCCTTGAGGGTGTATTTTGGAGAGGTTCTGGAGAACCAGGAGATGTCCTGTACACATTACAGAAAATGTGTGCTCACATTCATGTACCCCAGGGACCAGTCCTTCGCTATGACCTTTTGGGACGAAGACTCCATTTTAGTGAGGATGTTAAGTTACTCTGAAGCGTCCTATAAGCTGCAAATAATTGGATGCACCAGGGCTTGAAGCCCATTCTGGCCTGAGAGGCAGTGAATCTGTAGAGAGAAGCACCTGGAGGCAGGCTTTTGACTTCCTGCAACTAGACACCAGGTGCATTGGCCAGGAGTCATGGAGCGGGGGACAGAGCCATCACTAACCTAGCAGCCATCCTCTGGTTCTCCAAGAGGTAGGAGGAGCTCAGAACCTTAAGAGAGCGACCAGAGCTTCCATGATGAGGACAGCGCAAGAGCAAAATGTCCGGGAAGGAGGGAAGGAGGCCAGGAAAGGGGAGGCACCTCTCTCATCCAAGTCCCTAGGTCCCCAAGTACTCCACGTGGGTGGGGGCGTCTGACACACACCCACCCACGGGCCCACAGCCACATTCACTGGCTCATCTCTGCATCCCCGTGGGCGTCAGGCCTCCACAGGCCACGTCGCCGCCACCTGCTGCTGTAACCCCAGCGCTGGGAAACCTGCATCACCATTTTTCCCTCCATCTACCCTCTCCCAGGAGCAGGTCCCTGATACTCGGGGTCCAGGCTGAGGCCAGAGTCTTCCTGGCCCACTCCCCAGCAGCGACGTAGAGGTAGAGGGAGGAGCTCTGGCCGGCCACACCAGCCTTCCCCTGCCCCCTCCCCCACTGGAGCTCCCCTCCTCTCCCCCTTCGTTCCCCTCCCTGCTCTTCCCCTCCCCTCTGCCGCAGCCCAGCTCCTAGCGCGTCAGCGTGGGCTTCCCGGAGCGAGTCGCTAGGTAACAGGGCTGGCTCCGCAGACCCGGGCCAGGGAAGCCCGCGCGCGTCGTCAGCATCTGCGCCGCGGGGCGGGGGACTCACGGACCCTCCCCAATCCGGACCTGCAGACCCCCTGAACTGGCTCGCGGTCCCCTCCCTGGATGCCTTAAGGGTGCTGTTGAGCTGCCCCTCCCCCGCGGGGACCCCGACGTCGCCGCCCCCTCCTTCTCCCCCGCTGGTGCGCACCACTCTCCCCGCGGCCAGGTGGGCGACCCTCCGCTGCGGTTGCGGTGGCGGCCGGTAAGCTGCGATCTGGGGCGGGGGCGGGACTACGCCACCAGCGGGGCGGTTCGGGCCACCGCGGCCGGCCGACCGGCCATGTGCTAAAGTTTCTGGGGCTCGGCTGGCCGGCGGGTGCACGGCGCGGGGCGCAGAGCGCGGTGGGTGGGGCGCGCGGTGCTGCCCGCCCCTGGCCCCGCGGGGCGCAGCTCAGTGCGCTCTCACGCTTTCTTTCTCTCCTTTCCCCGGCGCTGCTGCCCTCAGAGATCTTCCCTCCCAGCCCAGGCGCGGGGCATGAAGAGCCCCCGGGTATCGCCTGCGGACAACCCAGCCACGCGCACACCTCGCCAGCGGCTGACGGGGACATGAGCAGCACGATCGGGCTCCGGTGCTGGGCGACCAGCCTCAGCCGGCAGCGGCCAGTGGGTCCTTGCTGCCTGGGAGAATGAGGCAGGAACCCGCGGCCACCTCTCTCTCTTCCTTCTTCTCGCCTTCCTCTGGCTCCCGCGCCCCAGGCCCGGGCCAGGCTGTGGCTCTGCTGCGTGCCCTGCGCGCCCCCCACCTGCCTCCGGATGCTCTTCTCGGTAAGCCAGGCCCTTCGCCTCGGGAACAAAGCCCCTTCGCAGGGCTTGGAGGCAGCCTCTAAGCCCCCTCTCCATCCACCACCCAGTGCCTGGAATCTGTCCCCAAACCTTACCTGAGTCTGAACTGCTAAGGTGCCTTCAAGACCCGGTGTTTTTCTGGGCTATCTGGGAGACAGCAGCGGGCTTGGCATGCAGGCTAGCAAGCAAGAGACCTGTTTGGTCTAGATAACCATCTATGTGTGAAACCTGGATTCGGACTTAGTCACTTGGGGGACCATGATGTTTAGTGGGTGCCCAGGCATTGCTGAGTGGTGTATCTTCAAACCACTCCAAGGAAGTAGGGTTCCCCTTCTCAGTATTTCAGATAAGGAAACTGAGGCCCGGAGTGATTGGATGTGCTAATCAAGGTCACAAGGCGGAAATCAAGGTGCTCACTACCTCATCAAACTGACCCTTTTATCACAGACACGCCTGCCTCATTTCCTCCACTAGCTGCTTCCGTCTTGAGAGCCACTGCATGTGTGTGAAAATACTCCTTCCAATGACGGCTGAGAGGGAATAAATTGCTTAGTAGAATGGATTTTCCATTCACTCCTCCATCTAATGCTGCCAATCCTAATGTGTGTGGTAACTGTGAAGCCTCCTCTTAGTTCAGTTGGGGGTGCAGTGTGTGTGTGTGTGTGTGTGTGTGTGTGTGTGTGTGTGTGTGTGTGTGTGTGTGTGTGTGTTGGGGGGGGGTGGCGTCAATACGTTTTCCTTGTGCTTTCTTTCCGGGCTCTGTTTTCCAGAGCTCTTGAAGGATGGAGAAGGGTGTCCGTTACTCCCATGTTTCCCATTCTGCACTGTGTGCCTCAACCAAGTTCAGCCTCACATGGCATCCTCAGCCTTACCCCTGGGCAAGACCCATCAGCAGCACCCGGGCTGCTTGTGCAAGTATTAGAGAGAGCTACCCCACAGAAGCTGGGGGCTGATTCCACATGGCTGTAAGGCAGAGGCCACCTGGGTCCTGACTCATAGTTGCCACCGCTCTGTGTGTCAGCAGAACTTCACACTTCTTAGCCCAGAGGGAGAGGGCATTGACTGTGATACAGACATGAGGCTTGCCCAGCTTCCCTGATAGGCAGCCAGTGACTCTTCCCATACGTGCATGTAGGTAATCCTCACCAAGGAGGCCATGGGGAATCGTTTGGTCCTGGTCTGAGCACTTGTTTAAGAGGTTGAGTATTTAAGTCTACACACCATGTGGAAAGTGATGGTGCTGTGCAGGGGAAGCCCTTGTGCCACAGGGGCCTCAGTGTCTGTCAACAGAAGGATCAGGGCTGGGTTGGGTGATGTCTCAGTTCCCTCTCAGTTCCAGGACTCTGAGTATGAGAACTAGTGGGTCACAAGACTGAACCAGGGTGTGGGAGGCCCATCAGTCACAGACTGATGGACTGAATAGGTTGTTGATTTCCAGGAAGAGGACTCGGTGTTGAAAGAGCCGTCAGAGGCATGTTCAGCCAAAGGAGGTGACGCCCCTGCTTTAGTGGATTATTTATTGGACAAAAACATAGTGGCTATAAAATGTCCCAAGGTGCCAGACTGGGGTTGTGGGATAGGTTAGGCATTTCAGTTGGAGAGATGACTTTGGCCCCTAAGAACTGATAAAATTCAATGTATCACCGTGACACACAGAAGGCTGGGAAGCAGCATGGCTAACAAGCCTTGCGGCCCTCTGAAAGGAATCAGCTACATGTTATGAGCGAATCTCAGCCTGAACCATCAATGTGAGTAACCACGGTCAGTAGTGCTTTGGTCTCACGCCCCTACTCTCTGCTGGTGATGTTGGTGACAGGTGGAGTCCACCGAGGACACTCAGGGAGACTGTGACGAGAAAGGTGGTCAGCAAGGGTGTTCAGACCCTCACTTAACTTTATTTCATTTGGGGCTGTGATTAGAGCTGAATGCGTCAAGTTGACCCATGGGCTCTTAATGGGTTGTCATCAGCCTTTTAAAGATGTAGATTAATGAGCCTTTTAAAGCAGTACTGAATCCCAAATCAAATGGACACATGCCACCTTTTCCCAGAAACTCGGCTCCCAGCAGGGTTTGATGGCTATTTGAAATTCACAAAACCAGAGGAAAAAAAGCTTCCTTTCTTTTTCGCGTGCTTGTGGGGTCTGTGAAGGGAAAATAATGCATCTTGGTGGCGTTATTAATCTCCCAGAATTGTGTGTTTTAGGTCCTCATGATTAACGGGTACAGTTTTGAATAAAAATGAATGCAGAGGAATGATCTTCATTATGTTACTCCTGAAAATGACAACGTAATTATGAAATAACGATTTTCAGATCATATATCATACTGCTAGTGCCCGAAACTGGATTACACAATACACCATTGATCCCCATTCTGATACTTACTTTTAACTCATCAGTTTTCTCACATCTTTGGGGCTTTTCCCTACAAACACATGCACAGCACCGTGAAAATGGACAGTGCAGAATAGATTCTTCCTTCTCAGTTTTTCTCAGTTAAACCCACTTCCTTTCTAGAAGATCTCAGAAGCTGAGCTCTTCCACACAGTTCTTAGGCTGGCCTCTGGTTAAAGTCCATCTGAGGTGCCTAGATTTCTGAGCGAGAGCAGAAGGATATGTTTGGTGCATCCATAAATGACAAGGTGAAGGCGGTTCCTCTGTGGGCTCACCCCAGCTAAGTGGGAGCGAGGCCATTGGCTTCTTTGGTGGTGGGGAAGCGCTCAGCATTGGGAGGTCTCTGGAGTATTCCATTCCACAGTGATTGTCACTGAAGATGGTTGTATGGACAGAGCACATCAAGGTGTACAAGAAAAGGAAGAGGCCAGGAAACCAGCATTCATCCTCGTGTTAACATGGCTCTGTAGCTTGGGATGGTTTATTCCCGCTCCCTGGGTCTGGGCTCAACTCTGTGATGGGGCTTTATGTTTGTATATAAATGTGTATAGTTAGTAACAAATGATGTCCTTCAACTCTAAACTCGAAGAATCCTTAGAGTTTGGCTACAGCTGGTTATTCATAGATCCAGAATGCTGTGTGCACTCAAGTTATGTAACGAGTTCAATTAGACATCCATATAAACAATGAAGACCCGGTCACTTTGAAAGATGCGTTTGTTACCTTAGGTCAAGTCTCAGTGCCCTGAGTACATGATGATGGAACTCCCATCCTGAAAGACACATGCCAGTTTCCCTCAGGGGCTTCCCTTGAACACATCTGAGAACATTAGAATGAGCCGTGACCCTCTCTGGGATCCATGTGGCAGGACACTCAAGAAGGGTTATATAATTTGGGTCAGTGGGGTAGGAAGAACATGACGTCCTAGCTGCAGAGCTTCAAAGTCAAGGGACTTGGGGATTTTGCCTCGTTCTCAGGCTATTCCTGGAAGGTAAGGAGGGAAGATTGTAATTACTGCTTGTCTTTGTTTTGAAAATGGAAAGTACTTAATTAGAGCCCTGAACTCAGTGAAAGGTTCAGAGTGGCGAGGCACAGTGGCTGGCTGTCTCTGCCAGCTTCTTCATGCAGTCTTCCTGTGTCATGTAGGTAGGTAGCATGTTGTCAGGGGGTCAAGGCTTCCTGTGGAAGTCATTTTCACATAGAGCGAGGGAGAGCAGCCACCAGACCGTAAACATCTTGTCCCTTACAGAGCGGTCCTTGTCCACCTTGTGTGCTGGAGGAGGAAGCTGCGCCCAGAGTGCTGATGAGCCTTCAAAACTTACAGAGGTATCAAAATGGCAGGACCTGGCGCGATGCTCAGAGTACACTGAGAGGTTTTTAACCACCCCACGCTGTAGCTTATGTCCTCTGGTGCTGCAGAGTGTCTGCTAACCAAAGTGTGTCCTTCCTCCCAAATTTTTAAATAATGCCACTGTACTAAAAAAAGCATGTGGAAGAGTTGACGTGGAGACCATATGGAGTGATTCAGCTATTGATAGACTCCTGAATTGTCCTTTTTTTATAAAAAAAAAAAAAGGGGGGGACATCAGATTTCTTTTAACTGCATAATATTGAATACATGTGTCCCCAAAGAGAGTCAGAACTAAGCCAGGTGTGACCTGAAAAAGGTTGCTGCTAGCTGTTCTTTGGGGACAGCTAAAATAACTCCACCAGGTTCCACATGCCCCTGGGGTTCCGGGGGAAGTGATAGGCAGGATGACACCCCAGTCCCTTTAGAAGGCACTGTGAGCCTATACCTGCTGACAAGGGACACGGAATAAAAATTACATAACAGAAACTTTCAAAGGTCGCTTTTTCCTCCCCGCCAGGGTGCCAGCGAGCTAATCCTCCCAAACACAAGCGGGAGATAGATGTGAGGCTTTCAAAGTTCACTCCCAGTGTTGAGGAAGCTTGGGACTTGGGGAGTGTGGGTTCCAAAGAATTTCAGGAGACCGGTGGGGCAGATGTCTAGGATGGCCTTGGAGGCTCAGCCAGGCTATGGTCCTAATGCTCTTTGCTGTTGGCTTTACAAAACTTTTTCAGATCAGCCCTCCCCAGGAGCCAAGGCTTCCAGGTCCCATCTGCAGCCCACAATTTGTGGAGAGTAAAGAGAGATCACTAGAGTACACAGCAGCCGGCTACGTGGCCTTACATTCTCGGAATGAAAACTCATCCTGGTTATTTTCTCTAGCAGCTGAATGTCCAGTTCTGATGTCAGCTTTGCCTATGTCTTCCCAGTGATGTCTTAACAAATAGAACCCCAGCCCCCTTCCACCTCCTTTGGACTGCCAAGCTGCTCTGGTGCCAAAAGCCTTAAGTTTCATCATAGGTGATTCATGAGGGTAGGTGGGGGAGCCAACAATGGGCTAGAAAACTTGATGGTGATTCATCTGTGACCCGAAAAATACCAGCAGCCTCCTGGCGCACAGCATGGAGTTTTTATTTGTGAGGATTCCCAGTGCTTGTTCCCAGTGAGACCTAGAGAGTCCAAACTTTGAGAGAACGGATGGGTGCCTGGTAGCCTCAGTGAGATTTCTAGTATGTGTGGCTATTAAAAAGCAGGATACAGAGGCATCAGAGTGTGTGAATGCTGGGGGTTACCCAGGCCCTGGTAAGTTGATTTGATTCAACATCATCACAGGATTCAATCAGCTAAGCCATTCTAGATGTTTGTGCTGTATGGCTTATGACAGATGTCAGTGGCTCTCTGGGGTTTAAGCCTGCACCTACTCAAGGCCCTCCTGATAGAGAGGCGTGTATTAGGGCTTGATGCGGTGACATGATGGAAACCCGAATCTCAAGGTCAGGAGGTGGTGTTTGAGAGGGTCGATGGATTCCTAGTGGGGTTTGTTTCTTAATAATTTGATCTGCTGCGAGCCTGCTGTGTGCGCCTCATTTAGCATCAGGAAGCTAAGAAGCAAGCAGGGAATGCCCAGAGCATTTTCCCAGCAGTCCCTGATTCTCAGCCTGGATCTGCTAATATAATCTGGGGATCTCACCGATGGCACACGCTCCGTCCAGCTGCGGAGAAGCCAGTGGAGTTCAGATTGGCTTTGACATGTCTCCACCCACTTGGGGTTCTCTGACTTCCTTAATTCAGAAAGTGGACGATAATGATGATCATTGTCTTCTAATGATGGAAAATGACAGCTCTCAGATTTTTAAGTAAAGCAGCACGTGCGAGCTTAAAATGATTTGTGACTGTAGGGTCTTCCCT